TTAAAGTCAAATATTTGTTTGCCAAATATTTATATACTGAATATTTATTTATTATATAGTTAATTAAATTGCTAAGAGAAGTTTTGGACAAACATATAGTAGAAATTCAACATACAAAAATAACTTGTAAGAGAACTTATGAGATTGCGACTTATTATAATGTAATATCACCCAAAGATTTGTTAAATTGGGCTTATTATTCGGAAGGAGAAGCTGAAGAATCGGTAGAAAAACATAAAAAATGAAAGGTTGCCGAAGAATCATCAATATATTCGGAGGAGCATCAAACCGGAGAAAGTGCAATAATGGGTGAGGTCAGGGAGGCAGTTACTAAGGCGAAAGCAATAGAAAGTACAAAAATCGGCAAGAAAAAAACAACTGAACGAAAGGTTGCCGAAGAATCATCAATATATTTGGAGGAGCATCAAACCGGAGAAAGCGCAATAATGGATGAGGTCAGGAAGGCAGTTGCTAAGGCGAAAGCAATAGAAAGTACAAAAATCGACCAAAGAAAAAATAAAAATGTCGAGTATCATAACATTCACGGCATCGGTCGCTTGCACTATGGCACTTTGATTGATAAGTTGTTCTCAATGGATTAAAGTTCGGTTTTCTTGATCTGTGACACATTCGAGCTTTATCACGTACCGAAATTAAACTAACCCATCTAATTATTGGTGCAAATTATGTGATAATATAATAAGGCGAGTCTTTTCTCTTCGGATCTTATATGTGATTGCATTATTAAAGATATCTTTCCGATCTTTAATTTCTTGAAGGTCGAGAGCATGGCCGAGTTTTCCCCACAAATTTTTAAGGTGGTGTCGTGCATGTCATCTTTTAATTGGTTCCTCCAAACCCAACCAACTTCCAAAAGCGATCCACAATTTTTTATTCAAATCATCAACAAATGATGAGGTATTGCCTCAAATCTCTGATTCCTCGGATATATCAGCACCCTCGCTCCACGAGTCAAGACAAGCTAACCCATTAATGATATCTCTATCTAGTAATGTTAGGAAATCTGGAGGGACTTCGAGTGATCCAAGAGGATTACTATTGGCCGATCTTGCTTCATGGATTAATGTTTCGAGTAGTGACTTTTGTTGGAATTTATTGTCTGGTCTTGGTTTTTTTTTGATGAATTACGATCCATAGAGGTGAGAGGGGTGCTAATCCATTCTTTTTCCAGATAGTTCACCTTATCACGAACACATAGACCTCGAGTAGTATACTGAGTTCTATGCTTAATTACAAAATATTATTTTGTAAATTAATTAAAATTTGATAGTTTTATTAGAACTAAAAATAATATTTAATTTTAATTTTTTAATTTGCTATTTATTAATTAATTTGTTTTTTTAACATAGGTAAACATCATTTCTTTATTTATTTGTATATATTGGGGCATACATTTTGGAAAGAAATATCTCTTACATACAACTTGGAATGAGTTAAATGCTAGCTTACCTACAGTAATCATTTAACCTCTATTAAAAAAGAAATTTTAAACTAGTATACTGATTAGATGATGCTGAACAGTTATGAATACCTATTTAGAGTTTGGAAAATAATGCAGTAATAGTTAGAAATAAGATTAGATATATATTGTAAGTAGTTGAAATTGTTTCGGATGAATGCTTCTATAATAAGAGTTGAAATATCAATTGTTATGCTATCATGTATAGAGATTAATCTGGTAGTGTTATGAGAGAAGAGTTTAAGTTTCAGTAATTTTTTGTTGTTATTATCATTGTTACTAATGTTGCTATTTATTATATATTATTATTATTATTATTATTATTGTTATTATTTTTTTTCTTGAGGTTTTTATTTTATTTGATATTAGTAAAGGGTTAGGTGTTAGCTGTATTGCATTAGAATAATAATATAAATATGTATTTGAAATATTTTTTATATTATTCTTAAATTAGAAATTTTATTGAAATATTGTTTTGATAATTAATTTCTATAATTTTTAAATTTTATATTGAATTTATTATTATTTTTTAATTATTCTATATTAAATTAAGCTATTTTAAGTTTTATAAGTATATATTGATATTAAAAAATATTTCAAAACTAAACTTAAATTTTTTCTAAAATAAATAAACTTATAGTTATATACAATATAACTCAAAATATTTTGTAATTAAGTTATAAATAATAACTTTACAATCATTGACTTGATTTTAATAAAAAATATATTATTTTAAAGATGAAAACTTATATTTTATTTAATATAAATTTTAATAATTTATCCATTTATCATTATTTGTATTACAGATTCATATATAATATATACAATGTGTTGCAAAAAAATCTGCAATTATGATTCATGTGATCACAAAAGAATGACTGTGCCAAATGATATAAAATTTTTACTAATATAACTTTTTATTTATTTTTCATAATATAAAAAAATCAATAGCCTATAAGTTTGTCATTTTTTTCCAGTATCTTCTAATACCTCTCTTTTATAAAGCCTATTAAATTTTTTAAAGTTAATTTTGAAATTACCTTCTATTCTTCGATCATATAATTTTTCAATTTACTTAAATTTTTCAACATATGATTCTCTATATTTCACTTGATGATAACTTATATATTCTTAATCAGATTTAAATTAGGACTACAAAATGGTCAATTAATAACTTTGGAAACATTCTCTCGAAGAAAAGCCATGGCATAACGACTTGTATGTTTCAGATTGTTGTCCTGCTGCCACTGAAATTCATTATCAAGTATCACTTTAACTTCAGGAATATGATTTGAAAGAATACTAGTATAAAACTCAGTATTCATTGTATCAGTAAAGCAATACAAACTTGATTTACTTCCTATATAGAATCCCTCTATGCCTTAATTTTTGTACGATCCTTTGGAATGCAATAAACTGATCAAGAACCTTTATACCAATATTTAATCATATTTCGAAAAGTTAAAATGCTGTTTTATCTGAAAAAAATATTATTTTCCAGTTATTATATAGGTGTTTCCAGATAGTATTACAAATAATTAATTAAAAAGTTCAAAATTAACCAATCAGAATTTGGAATTTTTAGTTGCAACTAGTTGATTATATTTAAAACAACTAATCGATTAAAAATTTTTTTGCCAACTAAGATTATTATTTCCAAATCTATTTTACACGTGCTTGCTTATAACAATCAGTAAGTATTGAAGTCTTTTTTAGAAAGTTATTTAGATATTCAATCCTGCTTAAATATCTTGAAACAGTACTATAAGACATCACAGTATCTTTTTTTATCAGTTTTGTTACAATAGTCCTTGTTGAAATAGAAGGATTTCTGCAAATATACTGACTTCACTAGTCGAAATTTGATCATTCGGCATGTCGAATTATTGCTGAATTTTTAAATTTTTATAATTAAATTTAAGCCGAATTTATGCCGTTTGGTGCCACTCGGCATAAAAATCAATATAGATATTCGTTAA